ATCAACCCAGGAACCATCAGGTCACCGGTTTGATTCCCAGTCAGGGCACATGCCTGGGTTTTAGGCTCGATCCCCAGTGGGGGCATGCAGGCGGCAGCTGATTGATGAAGTTTCTCATTGATGTTTCTATCTCTCTATGCCTCTCCCTTACTCTCTCTCTCTAAAATAATAAATAAAAACATATTTTAAAAATAAAAAGCAATGCCAGGCAGGAAATGAACAGTGCCAGCTGGCTCCAATTAGAAGAGGTCACTCATCTAGAGCAAAAGATATGGCTTTGGAAAATAGCTAGAAATTGAATAGCTAGAGAGGGAGAAACATTCAAGGCTGGGGCAAGCCACTGGCAAAAACATGGAAGTAATGAGCTAATTTATTTTACTGGATATTGAGGAAATTAAGAAAAAGGCAGGTTGGGGCTACACTTCTGATATTTGACAGTTGAATGTTAGGATGTTGTTCATATAGGCAAAAGCAGAGGGTTACAAAGAAGAGTATTGAGCAGAAAATTTAGCTAAAACTAATATTTTATGAAGATTACTCTAACAGTGCAATGTAGCAAGGAGGAAAAAAATGTGGGTGGAGACAGAGGCTGTTACAACAGTGTGGACATTTGGTAGTAGAAAGATGCAAGGAGCATTTCGAAAGAGAACCAGCTGGTCTCAGGAATTACGCTGATACAGAGATGTGGGAAGCTCAAGCAAGAAAGGAAGAGGAACAGGGATGAGATCATGAACTTGGGTGCCTAATATAGGGATGTAGAATCAACGTAGAAGATACGGAGTTTACTCGTAGAATAATCCAGCTGCTGGTTTCTGGAGGGATGTCAGTGTTAAGGACAGACATGTGAGCGTTCTCAGTAGTGAAATAGAAACCATGAGGGCAGGTGGCCTCTTAGAAAGTCACGTGGTTTTATTGGGAAGTGACTATATCCAATGAGTGTGACGAGAAAGAGAAGCTAACTAAGGAAACCCAAACTGTCAGAGATGTAGGAGGCAATCCGACAAGTATTTTAGAAAGGAGAGTGTTAAATGCTGCAGACTGATCACTGAAGGGTAAGTGATGATCTTAATGAAAAAAAACTGTTAATATTCAGCTTTTCTGAGGTGTAATTTACATATTATAAAGTGTTCACTTTTAAGTATATATTTCAATGTGTTTTAACAAATACATATACTATGTAATCACTATCACAATCAATGTATAAAAGATTATAATGTCCCAAAAGCTCCTGTGTCCCCTTTTCAGCCCTAGGCCACCACTGATCTGCTTTCTATATAGGTCAGTTTTGCTTTTTCTAGAATTTAATTTAAATGAAATCATACAGCATGTACTCTTTTGCATCTGCCTTATTCACTTAGCATAATGCTTTTGAGAGTCATCCATGTTGTGTCTATCAGTAATTTGTTTATTTTTTATTGCTGAGTGGTTTTTCATTATGTGGTTAAAGTAACTTTACTGACCACTCACTTATCTTTAGGCGACTGGGTTGTTTTCAGTTTTTGCCTACTATAAATAAATCTGCTATGAACATCTGTGTATAAATCTTTGCAAGGACATGTTTCCATTTCTCTTGTGTAAATACCTAGGAGTGAAATTGCTGGCATATATATATTTAACTTATTTTTTTTAAATATATTTTATTCATTTTTTACAGAGAGGAAGAGAGAGGGATAGAGAGTTAGAAACATCAATGAGAGAGAAACATCGATCAGCTGCCTCTTGCACACCCCCTACTGGGGATGTGCCCACAACCAAGGTACATGCCCTTGAC